CCGTCTGCGCCCGTCCCCGGTGATGCGGCACCATAGGCGGTGGCGGACGGCCGTGAAACGACCTCGAGCAGCGGCAGCGAAGCGGTGTGGAAGGAAGTATTATAACAATACTCATACGAGAGCCAATCCACCCATCGCGAGGCGATCACACAGTAACACAGCGCAAGTACATAGCAATCACCTTGTTGACCACCTCGGATGGCCGTCGATTACTGCGGGTGGAAACGCCGTCTTGGCGCAACAGCGCCCCGCCATCCGGAAGAGATCACGCCAGATATGCGGTAAACACGGATCCCGATCGCGGCGATGGATGTGGAAACCCGTACAGCCGGACGATCTTGTCGAAGAATGCCCGGCGGCGGTGGTGGCGTATATGGGTGGCCCGCAATGAAATCGCATACCGAAGCGATCCACCACCGTCAAGATGACCGACTTACGCCCACCTTGGGAAGGCCCTCGATGAAATCCATGGAGCGTCGCCCGCGCAGGGGCGGCAGGCTCAAGGGCTCAGCGCGACCCGGCGAGCCGTAGAGACTCCGTCTTGTTGCGGCAGCACACCTCACGAGACGCGCGCGATCTTGCACGAAGTGCGTCGCGCGGAAACGAAGAAGTCGGGCGAAAGCGGTGGAGAGTCTTCTGGGCGCCCTCGTGGCCGGCGAGTGGGCAATGAGCACACAGTGGCGTGAATCACCGTGGTGAACACGAATCTGGCGCCCGTGGAGAAGCGACCGGCGTCCGGCGCGCCGAGCGCGCTGCGGCTCGCCGGCCGCCAGCTAACATTGTTGCGGCATTGCGCATCGGCCGCCGTCCGCGATCGCGTGGCGGATGTCATCGATGAAAGCGAAGGAGGGCGAGATGGCGCCGCGCGCTGGCGCCCCTTCCCGCCCGAAAGTCGGCCCATTGACTTCGGTGTCGCGGCGGCGAGAGGCGTCGACCACCGTGTTCAACCGGCGAGCGGTGATTCGACGGTGAAGTCGAACCCAAGCAGCTTCTTGATCCATTGGTGATAAGTGCCGTCGACGACGCCGGTCAACAAAAACTTCAAGCGTAATGGTCGGTCACGGATGAAAATAGCGACCCAGATGCGGCGCGATTGGCGCACCGCTTACACCAAACCAATCGATTCGCGCTCATCTGCCGCCGACTTTAAGTAACGACATGAAAGGGCCAATTTGAAAAAGCGAGGGCGGCGCCACGATGCGAGGGCGACACCAAACCCCACGCCCGGCGTCGCGATCCACCATGAACAAGCGGGTGAAATCCGGCATTTGGAGGACCGGTCCGGTGGTGGCGGCGCTTGGCGCTGGAGCATCTCGCCGCCTCGGCGTCCCACACAAGCGCGTCTTGCTTAAGAGCGAGGCAGCGTGGCGAAGCGATGAGTCAAAGTCCGGATGAATTTCCGGTAGTAGCCGTGAGCCCGGGAACCACCGGGCAGGGGCCAGGCGCCACGCGGAGGGGGCCACGCCGCGACAGCGACCACCTTGTCGGCGTCCATAGCGGCGCCCGGCGAAGATAGCGTGGCCAAGGTAGGCCCGCCGAAGCGTCGTAGCCGAAGAACACCGGCGCTTGAGGTGCGGCGGTGAGCACGCGGCGCGTTGAGGACGATGGCGATGTCTTTGCGGATGCTCCGCCCATGATGGTATGGATCGAATGTCGTCAAAGAAAGCGAGCACAAACCTTCGCGAGGCGGTCGGAGAAGCGTCATTCGCCGAGGCACTGGAATGTCGGCGGAGCATTGGAGAGGCCAAAGGGCATCACCGGGAACTTCGTAGTGCCGTGGTGGGTGCGGAACGCCGTCTTGGCGATGTCGTCCGGGTGCATCGCTTTTGGTGGTAACCCGCCTTGTCGAGCTTAGTGAAGAATTGAGCCCCATGGAGCTCGTCAAGCGGCTTCGTCCACCACCGGGATCGGGAACTTGTCCTTGGGCGTCTTGGCGTTGAGTAGCGATAGTCGATCTGAAGCGCCACGAATTGTCCGCCTTGCGGACCCAGCGACCCCGAAGGCTTGGCAATGGCGTCTTTGGGCGAATAATCCCTGAGCTAGCATATCGCGACAACTGGCGCTCTAGCTCATCCTTACGGAGGCTGCGGAATGCCGAAATGCAGGCGCCCTTTACCCACGGTGGCGTCCCGGAAGGAGATGGATCGTTGATGTCGTATGGCGGGAGGCGGAAGGCCACGAGGCTCGGCGAAGATGGCGGCGTCTTCTTTGTAGGAAGCGGTCCGCGAGGGTTGCTCGGAGAGCGACCGCTTGGCCATTGCCGCGATGGCGCCCTATGACGCCCGCGTCGGTGGCGCCACCCTCGCCGCGCCGGAAGAAAGATCGCTGCCTGGCGCCCGAGCGATAAGCGTCATCGCCTCGAAGTCCCACGGAGAGGACCCAAGGTCTTTAGGAAGTCGGCGCCGAGGATGAAGTCGAAGCACCCCAAGTCGAGGCCGGCGCGTGATGGCGAAGGACTCGGACCCGGCGACGAAAGTGCGTTACGCGCGATGCCCACACCGGAAGTCGATCTCCGTTGGCGGCAGATTCTGCGGGTGAAGCACCCCCAAAAGCCTGCAAAGACCAGTGGGCGCATGGTGGCACTCTGAAGGTAGTTGTGGGTGGAGCGGTGTCAAGAAGCGCTATAGCGCCGCCCTGATGGAGCCCGGCGGCGACATAGTGTTTTTCCGTGCGGATGCTGCGCCCACCGCATGGAGGACACCACCAAAGGCGTTGGGCTGCTGTGGGTTTCGGCGGCTGTTCCTCGCCTTCGCGGTTGAGGCTCATCGGTGGCCGCCGGTGTCGGGCTGCCGGAGGTCCTCGTCAATGTAATCATCGACCTCAAGTAGAAAAGCTGCGGGCACACATGGCCCACAGACGTAGGGTTAAATCACGATTGAAGCAAAAGCCTGCCGCGACGTTCGACCATCTCCATGGGGAGAGCAGCGGAAAGAAGCGGCGCCGGCGGCATGGCGCGCTTTCTTTGGGTGTTAAGCGGCGGCTGCTGGCAGCGGCCCGACTGCCGTGGCCTCCTCGGTAGCCTTGGTGGCGGCGGCACTTGCTGCTTCTTCTGCGGCCGTGGTCCCCGGAAGGGGCCGGAGGAGCGATCGCCCAGCGCGACGTTCAAATGCGGGCGAGTACATAGCCGTCTGGGAGATTCTGCGGATCGCGAGCTCGACATCCACCTTGATGTGCTCGGGAAGATCACCCACGAACAACTCATATTCCGAGGTCCGGAGATGTTAGAAGTGTGATCTCAGCGTTGAAGCCAGCTGCAGTACTCTGAGCAACCGTCGGCGGAAGGGCGTGCGCGCCCAGACTCGGAGATACAAGTATTCCGCACGGCCGCCCGAAGCCCGGAGGTTACACAAGACTGAAGCGATCCTGGCGGCATGCCCTCATCTTGTTCGAGCGTAATACCACGTCATCTTTGCGCCCTTAAGATGGTAGGGCGCCGCGAGCCCGCGTCCGGTCGGACGCCAAGGTCTGTTGCCGCCCGCAAAGCTGCTCACACCGATTGAGCGATTCAGCGGGTCCTCGAGCCGCCGTCATATGGCGAACTCCGGCTTGTAGAACTTGGCGGTGGCCGTCCGAAACAGCGTCGGCCGGCGTGGCCGCTTGTTACCCATTCTAACTGCGTCGGCCGAAAGCGACACTCAATCGATTCTTTGCCGAGGGCGCCGCGGGAGGGATGAAATACCGTCCATACTGCGCCCGTAGAGGGCCGGGAGGCCGGCAAGGCGGCGTGGAAACGCCATGGCCTTGGTATCTTGGCAGTATGGAAAGAACGGCTGCGGCGTCGTGGGCGTATAGATCGGGGCCGACGTGGCCGCCATACGTCGGGGATCGGGGACAGCGAGGAGGTGGATTTGGTGGATGGGAGCAGATGACATGCGGGGTGTGGGGGTGGTGGGGCGGCGGCGGCGGCATGCCATCTGGTGCGTGATTGCGAGGTGGGCGTTAGGCGCGGCGAGGGGCCGAAGTAAGTGGCGGCATAGGGAAAAAAGTCTGCGAGCGGCGGCTTTGTGGTGGTGATCGGCTGGGCGTGGGCGGTTCTGGAGGGCGCCCGCACCTCCTCCATGGAGAGCTGCATAGCCGCCATGTTACAGTGAGCTTCAGCAATAGCCACCAAAGTATTCACAGGGGCAGAGAAATAGCGGGGCGCTTCGCGCCCGGCCAGTGTGGCGGCAATCGCCCCAGTCATGGGGGCAGCGGCGAGGTGGAGGCGGCGGCGATGATGGGCGTGGCCTTGCGCGGAGACGGAGGAGGAGGGCGAGTGGGTAAAGCGAGGCCGAGGCTGGGGACTGACATCTCGATACAGTTGATAGGATTTGGATCCTATCGTGAATGGTCGGAGGTTATAAGGTGAGAGATCGGGGGGCACGAGCTCGGCGACGGCTCTGGGCGCCGTCCTTGCAGCTGATCGCAGCGAAGAAGCGAGGAACACGACGAAGGCGCTACACAGTATCGCGGTACTGTTCACGGGAGAGAAAGAGAACTTCGGCGGCTAGGGTTTCTCCGGCTCCTTGAGAAGCCGGAAACAATAATATGTTTACGCTTACCAAATTAGTCCCTAATCACAAGTATTTATCTCGTCTATTGAAATATGAAAATAACCCCTGATTCTATAGAAATTATCTAGACTTAGCCACTAATACCCTTTAGCATGGCTATCTTGCATGCGGTCATAACAGATGCATTGTTAAACAGAGGAGCATACAATAGACTATGTACAGTGCATTGGCCTCTCATTTTCTTTATTTCATAAATTTACATGGTTTTGTTAGTCTGTATGTTGTATGAAGCTAAAATCCTGCTTTCTTCATGGAAAATTTTGTCTTTCATTTTTTGTGCATATTATGACTGAACTATTCAAACTTTATACATTATACATATAGTGGTGAATGAAGTAGAGGCAGTGGACCAAATTCTTCCAGATTCACTTGATGAGATAAAGTTGTTGACTCATAGTGAGAATAGCAAATTCAGGTCAAAGGTCTGGAAGGATTTTATACCATTCTATGTTCAAGGGAGAGTCCAGGGTGCTGACTGTGTCCATTGCCTGGCGACTCAGTGCAGATAAAGGTAGAAGCCATTTGAATCGGCATACTCAGACTTGTCCAGCACGGATTGGAAATAACATAAATCATCAGAAAGGTGTGTTGTTCCAGTCCAGTATACGAGTTCTAAATCTAGCCTTCAAGATGAGCTTTCACCTGCATTGACAAATGGCAAAGTTCAGATTGCAGAATATGCTAGTAAGTTCCTCAAAAGGCAGCTCAGCGAGAGCGTCATGTTCTAGCTTTACCAGCAATGGATGATATGAATCCCTCAGAGCAAAATACCTCATCAACTCAGACTGCTACTGATATAACCAGGAAACCTGACCAAGAAGCATCTTATCAAGAGTTAACTAGAATGATTATTTCACATGGCTATCCCTTGTCGATTGTCGAGCATGAAGAAATGAGAAGGTTTGCAAAAGAGCCTAAACCCTGCATTTAACATGGCTTCAAGCATTGATATAGAAGAGTATTCAACTCTTTTGTTTCAGAAAAGAAAAGGCTGACCTTAAGGAAAGAATTGCACTCTTGTCCCATCGGGTTTCCTTGTCAGCAAGTGTTTGGGCTCCTCATGGAGCTGAGGCCTTAGTGAAGTATCTCTGTTTGGCAGTGCATTTTATTGATTCTGACTGGAAACTTCAAGGAAAACCATCAAATTTGGTGTGTTTTGGTCCTCACCTACTAGTTTGGAAAGGATGATACAGTTTAAGGAGGCCTGTGTGCTAGATTCTGATATTGGACCATTTAATGTCATACAGGAAGCTATAAGAGATTGGAATCTTGATCAGAAGCATTTCAGCTTGACATCTGGCAGTGAAATTAGAAATGACGAGGAACCTCAAAGCTGATGGACTTGCTCATCCAAAGGAAATGCCTTCCTATTAGAGGTGAGCTATACAATATAAACTTGTGAATGATGTGCTTAACAGCATTGTCTCAAAAGGGCAACCAGTGCTTTATCATGTTGGTAACCTACTAGAGAAATTTATTCAGGCACATATGTCCTCATCTCTGACTCGACAGCAACTTCTAGAAGTTGTTTCACATATGGGATTGAAGTGCCCACAGGAAGATGCTAAATGGTGGCACAGAATTTACTTTAGGCTTGAAATTCTTCTGCATTTCAAGAAGGCATTTCCCTCTGAAGAATTGTTATCTGCAGAAGATAACAAAACTGTTGAGTCTGTTTGCAGGATACTCAGGGCTTTTTTATCGTGCTGTTGAAGTGATTTGTGGTCCTGTTTGCCCCACAGCAAATATGTACTTCAATGAACTGTGGAAAGTTAGAACAGCTTTGCAAGAAGAAGCATCAACTGATCACACTGAACTTGCTAACATGGTTTGGGAGATGCAGGAAGCATTCAATGAGCATTGGCAAAATTCATATGTGTGGCTGTCGATACCTGTTGTTCTTGACCCCAGATTCAAAATTACTTTTATTGAGTTCGGTTAAGCGAGCTTTTGGTACCGATGCAGAAAAGTATGTATCTGCCATTAAGTGATACAACAAGGGCTGTTCCATGAATATTGTGGTCTTTCAGATAACTTGGGTGCCGATACATCAGCTCGTGATGTTGAGTTGGATGGATTGACAGTGATTCATTGGAAGATTGGGATGAGCATCTTAATGCACAGACAAGGAACCAACAATTGACAGAACTTGACAACTACCTTGAAGATTGTCTTGTCCCAAGGAAGGATGATTTTGATATTCTGAACTGGTGGATGAGTAATTCTACAAAGTATCCAACCCTTTCAGTTATGGCACGTGATGTCCTGGCAGTTCCAGCTTCTGCTGTTAATTTTGAGCCCGCGTTAAGCGGTGAGGTAAATGTAATACATAAGCAATGGAGCACATTAAGTATCAAAACAATCGAGGCTCTTGTATGTACCCGAGATTGGGTTAAATAGATAGTAAGCTCTTCACTTTGGTTGTTCTGTTGATTTCCTTGTTTCAGTTCTGTAAGGAGCGTTGCTTTATTGGTTTGTCTTATTTAGCATCTTAATTGTTAATTCTCGATAAAATTTGATAGTGCACAGTTGAAACATTTCCACTTGCACCTGCACTAATATATCTTATTAGCTAGACAATCACAGTTTCCATTTTTCTTACTGGATACTGGATAGTTACTGAAAATAATCATCAATAGGATAGGATCTGCAGTATCTTATAGAAATAAAGGGGTTTGTTCTCAACTAACACAATATTGAAACTGTGTTAACTTCTGGTTCCTCCCACTTGTGTGCGTACATGTTTTTTTAACCTTGTATCTGTTTCACTCCTTAATATAATGATGGTCAGCTCTCCAGCCAGTTAGAGAAAAAAAATATATTGAAACTGTTTTTCCGTCATGGCAGGAAAATGTTGTGTATGATTATATAAATGAGTAAATATGCATCACAGTTACAGTTAGTTTTGAGGAGGTTGCTGCAGCTCAAGGATGTCAGGGTTTGTTATAGAATTAGGTTTGCAAGTCAGGAAAATATTCAATTACAGACCCCTCTTTGATGGAAACGTGAAACCATCCTAGAAAAAACATACTTAGGAGTTCTCAAAAAAATTGAAATGATGCATATCCATAGCGAATCTATAGACGTACTTCGACACAAAAGGTGAGATGTAAACTTGTTTTGTAGAAGTTTATACAAAAATAACAAATTTCAGGTGCACCTGCACTGGAAGACAAATTCCCAAAATTTTGTCTTGTAGTGCATATGCACCTGAAATTTATCATTTTGTATGAATTTTCTAGATTGAGTTTGCAGCTCAACTTTTTATATATCGTTCAAATTGTTTGAAAACTTCTAAGTTTCTTTATCTAGGGATTTTGGCGTTTCCACGAAAGGGGTTTGATGGTACTTGTGATGCAAATTACTGTTGATAAATTTCAGTTGTATATGAATGAATCTGTAATCTTTATCTTTATTGAGAATTGCGAAATGTTCTCATCATGGGAACAAATCAAATACAAGCAATAGATGGAGAAATTTAAATTGCTTGTACTAAGCTGAATAGAGATATTTGTGTTCACGGACTCTTTCTAGCGGTGAGTGGTACGGTTTACAAGCTATATATCATGCTGCAGCGAACTATCAATGCTGATCATTCTTTTTTTTTTCCCCCTTTCATCATCAGATCAGAAGATCACAAGCAGTTCATAACCATAGTGCTTCTAACCTGGGAATACAGGATGATATCATTGAGTACACCGCCCATTTTATTGTGCTGTATATCAGACATCTACGCAGCCACTGGTAATGGAAGCTACCAAATGCGGGCTTCTGGTGTTCACATGTATTATATTGTGCACATTGTTGTCTAGTGATTTTATCATGTTATTAGGTATCTGGGGCAGATTATTTGTACAGAGCCATTGACGTGCTGCTGCCTGATTGAGAATTCTTGTATGACGGCAATAGAAAGCCATTTGATGACTGATGTTCTGTTCATGTTATCTTAGCGTGTTGGTTGTGCTGTGCTGTGCCCCTTCAAAATCTGAATTTGGGGGCAATCACCAGTGCTCAGGTTTATTTGATCTACGGCTCTTGAGGCTCGTAAGGTTACATCACCATGTAAATGATTGCTGGCTTCAAATCGTACTCAATGTGGATCTTTTTTGAACATTGCGTTAATCTTGAATAGCATATACTCCGTAAACGAACGCATGGATAGTATTTAGATGGTACTTTGTTCTTCACAGACATGGATAGTATTGGATATTTCACATTTTTATCGAATATGGATCTAGAATAAGTTAGAGAAGGATAAAAAATGGATTTGAATACATCCATTTAATAAATCGGATACGAATAGGAATATTTATGATGATGCTAAAATAGATATGAATATCATATCTTTTTTTTGGATATTTAAACATTCGGATTCGTCTCTACATGCTACAGTACATAGCTTGTAACACACTGGTATGAACTAGCATCACTGTCCGACTCGAACCACAAACTGACAATAACATAACACTACCTGTTAGAGACGAGAACCAACAAAGATATTCCAATGCCGGGTCGTGGCTTGACCCGGCATATCACTGCCATTTTTGGTATGACCCAACGGTGTTCTAGCTACGCTAAAAAAAACCCCAAACCACTCCTTCCTCTTCCCATCTACCTGAGCACACTCTAGGGTCGAGATAGCGGACTAGAGGAGGGTGAATAGTCATTTCTAAAATTAAATGCGCTGGCTAACCGAAACAAATGCGGAATTAAATCTATTGGTCTAGCCAAGACCATATCCCTCTATCTAAGTTCACAAGCATCTTATAAAGATTCTAATTAGGCAACAAAGATGCCAGGCTAGCTAGAGTTCACCTAATTAATTCTAGAGCAAGGTCACACGAACCTATGCACTAGTACTTTGGCAACCGGGAAGCTCCTACACATGCTAGTGATGCAAAAGCACAAAGCTCATAAGCTCACTAGCAATGCTTAATAACAAGGCTATACAAGTTAAATTAGAGAGCGCAAATCACTTAGGTACACAAACTAAGCAATGTGACTAACAAAGTTACTCAAACCAAATTAGCCACGCAAGGGAGCTACTTCTATGCTACACAAGCAAGAAGGTAACTAGCAAGCTACTAAAGCTAAACTAGTCACAAGAGCAACTACACAAGCACAATGTAAATGAAATTAAAACAAGCTTGTGTTGCGCGGAATGCAAACCACGAGAAGATGATGAAGACAATGTTGACACGGTGATTTTATCCCGAAGTTCACTTGGTTGCCACCAAGCTACGTCCTCGTTGTGTCGACCTTGATGGTTCGGCTGACTAATTGGCATCCCCGCCAAGCCCTTGCGTCGGGCACATAAGAACCTACACCGAAAGTGAGGGTAACTCAATGACACGCTCAACTAGAGTTGCTCTTCACGATCCCTACGGGGTGAGCACAATCCCCCTCATAATTCCTGCTCCAGAGCACCACACAATCTTCTCGCGTGCTTCAATGGAGTCGCAAGCCACCAAGCTGTCTAGGAGGTGGCAACCTCTAAGAGTAACAAGCACCACCGGCTTGCAACATGGTCATCTAGTGCCACTCGATGCAACCTCACGATACAATCGCACTAGAATCGCTCACTCACTCGATCAGATGATCACTATCAAGCACAAGTGAGTGGGCTCCCAAGCACACCTACACAAGCCACCAAGGCATAAGGGTGCTTAGCAACCAGTTCAAGCCTAAGCTCCACCTCTATTTATAGTCCCCAAGCCAAATAGAGCCATTATACCCCTTGAAGTAAATTTTGCTGCGAGGTCACTTGGACGGTGATTGCTTGGCACCGAGACATGGCGGTGACACTGCTAACATTAATTTTAACAGTCACAAACTAGCCGTTGGGGCACGGACCCAGGCGGTGGCACCGCCCCTAGGGTGGCGGTGACCACCAGTAGTGCCCTAAGAACCAGGTCTCTGGATAAAAGGGCGGTGCACCACCATCACCACAGTGGTGACCTTCCTTGCTCATGCACATCTCTAGAGGAAAATGGCGGTGGCATCGGACAGCCCATGGCGGTGACAGGCCCTTGCCCCCCCCATGGTGTTGTACACCGTCACTTCCGGTGACCACCCGACTCTGCTGTTGCGCTCGGCCAAGTCCAGTGGGCACCGCCCTAGAATTGGCGGTGCCACCAGACAACCCAGTGATGGCGCCCTCGGGGCAACACGCTGCTCTCGGCCTCCTAGCCGGTCCACCGCCACCGGGGTGGCGGTGCACCCGATTAGGGAGTGTGATGCCACCTAGCCCGACAACGTGGGGGCATAACCTCGGATACCCACGGTAGACCACATAGGTGCGCCCCTAGGGTGTCCCGACCCACAAGAGCGAAGCCTTGCGGGGCCACACGCGCTGCTCGGCATCTCCCATAAGACACAAGGAAGATATCCTAAAGATACTCGAGATCTGTTAGGATCGTGTGATCCCATGATTCACATAATCTGTTATTACTTTACGGTTTTCTCCTAGATCTAACCGACTTGTAACCCTGCCCTTGGACTATATAAGGTGGGCGGGGACCCCTCCAAACTCATGCAATATCATCGATAGCCAATACAATCCAATGACCCACGGGAGTAGGGTATTATGTCATATTAACTTGCTGAACACATCTAACTCGTGTGTCTCTGTTGCCTTCTTGTTCTCGATTACATGCATCTCTGTCGATCAATCTACCTTCGTGGGATACCCCTCGGAGGACTGCCGATGATATTCTATCGATAGTTAGCACGCTAGGTAGGGGTGTGCGTGCTATTTCTATATCGAACAAGATGGTATGTTCTGCAGACTCTTCGTCCCTCCCATAGCCCGACCGGATCTTCACGGTTGGATCGATCTAAGTGGATCATCGTGTTGTGGTCGAGAGCTCATCGAGCGGTCTTGAGATCAATACTATGCCGATCACCCCCAACACACCTGTGGCTGAGATCTGATCTGGAACCACCTTGAGGTCGTCTTCGCCCGACAATTCACCGCTCGCTCCCCGCTACGGAGGAGGCGAATCAACAATGATGATATGATTGCATCCATCGATTAGGTTGGCGAGAGCTGCGCCGATTGCCTCTCCATCACGAATCGGCTCTAACCACTCGGTTCGGCGTCGACCACCCTCTCGATCTAGATCTATCGGAGGTTTGCTCGGGAAACTCAAGGGTTCTGGCCCTACCCTTGGGTTCACCAACATCGCCGCCATCTACCAAGATGCCCTAAGGGGCAAGTTCACCCGACCGGTCGAGAGATGTCCAACCTCCGTCGACGGATCACCCGACCGGCCTCCGCCCGGTATCCAACATGCTACACGTCGGTGATGCCGAGCATCCTCAAACCATCCTAGAGGAGAATCCGGACTTGAGTCCTAGGGCTCTCTGGAGGCTGTCGCATGAAACCTCCGCCCGAACAACCTCCTCTCCTCCCCTTCCGTGGAGGAGCAATCTTTAATGTCGGCGTCGATAGCCCCCTGCGAAGGGGAAACCGAGGAGGACCACGCCCTACCGCGTCAATAGGAACATCAACCATGAGCGGCGCCGAGCAAGCGAGGCTGCCCTTGCAATGGTGAGAGGCTTAGCTTGACTCACAAGGAAGGCCACACCAACTCCACATAACCTTGACAATTTATCCGTGTTGATGGCCACGACTTCTACAAGACCCCAAGCGCCAACTGGCGTGGCCTGTGAGCTTCGCCAAGCTCCCTTGACATACCGGAGGTCGCCAAGGTCACCGTCATGCTTAAAGCGGCACACTACCAAGTCAATTAGATCCGCTGAGATCGAGGCCTTCATACTCCACAAGCTCAATTCACCGATCAGCCGGCGCCAAGATCTGATCGCCGCCCAAGTCATTTCAGCGGCCGGCATCGCGATGGCGGACAACCCCTCGAGCTAGAACAACCGCGCCGAACACCTTCGCCAACCACGACCAAGAGGTCGACCGGGACATCCGAGCACCTCAATAATCTACGAGGCGTGCGATGACGTATTGATGGCGCCGCCCGATCGCCATGAAGAAGAAGTGCGCGCCGTCAAAATGCGAGCAAGAGTTCGATAACCCGGACTCGGCTCTCGAAGCCGCTCAACACCGACAGCGCTGCGGATCCAACCGACAATCCCGAAGGGCCCCATCATTCATGAGGGCACTCCAAACACTCCGGTGGCCCCATGGTTTCAAAATCAGGAGGTTAAGCCCTCACGAGGGGCGGATGAACCCCACCACGGTGGCTCTGAGGCTTACCCTCTGCTGTTCACGCCACGGAGGAGATACTAGTGTCATGACGAACTATCTTCCCATCATGCTCCGCCAATTCGCGATGAATGGTTCACAAGCCTTGCACCGGACTCCATCGGATCCTAGGAAGAGCTAAAAAGGTCTTCACCGACAACTACATGGCTATGTGTACTCGGTAGGGCACCAAGCATGATCTGAACCGCATCTATCGAAGTCGTCTAAGCTCCTCCATGCTTCATCGAGGCGCTTTTCCAAGATGAGAATTCTATTCCTAACATCACGGAAGCTGAGGTTATCACCGCCTTCATTCGAGGACTCCATCACCGCGATCTTTGCTCCAAATTCAACCGCAAAAAGCCAGCGGGATTGGCGAGATGATTCGACCCGCCAACCCGATGCGCCGATGTTGAAGAAGGCGAAGTGCGCTTCAACGAGGATGTGGGCACTCATCGCCCAACTTCGCGTAGTGACGATCGCCCGATGATCGGCGCCCACGGCCTACCGCCCGCTTCTGACGACCGCGGATCACCATCGGAGACGATGGTGCGTGATCGGCGAAGGATCCAAATGCGGTCAATATCGCGGTCATTGACTAGACCACATCGTCGCCGCCGTCAAGAACCTCAAGCCAAGCGTAACTATGATGAGCGGTACAAGAAGATCCTTGAGGCTCGTGCCCCCTCCACAAAATGCCAAGCATAAGATGAAGGACTGCCTTGGCTTGGCTAA